TGATCTTAATATTGATTTATAATTAAAATTGCAATTTATTTTGCATAAATGTTTGTTTCTTGTAAATTTGAACGATGAGTCGTGCACGTCATGATCCTTCACCCTCCGTTACAGAATAATTAAAAAATAAATATCCCATGGTCTTGAATTAGCTGGGAAAAGACTTAATCTTGCTGCCATTCATTTTTTATCCATGTAAAAAAGCAAACACTCTCAAATTTTGTGTCGCTGAGCTTTCTCCATCTTCTTCCACTTTGGCGACTGTTGGGTTTCTCAGTAAGTTTCAATTTCACATCTATGAAGAATTTCACATGTGTAAAGAATTTTTGTGACATTTCACCCAACCAAAAAAAGTGCCAGACGCTGATCCGATGACACCAACAATCATTTTCTTTGAAGTAGTGGAATCTTACCCATTATTTTTAAAGCCATTACCAACTAGAATCTAGAACTTGATTCTCATGGGAAACCTTTGCATATATCTTCTTCTTCTTCAAGCTTCAATTAATGTCAAATCTCTGCAATATTCCTTCTTTCAAACAAAAGATCCGATGGTTTTCCAGTCAGGAAAGCATTAGTTCCAAAAAATGTAGATGAGATTTCAAATTAATTTGAAGGATTTGACCCAAATTAACATTCCTCTGCTCACCTCTAAGTCACTTTTGGACACTGAAAAAATAAGTGACAAGGAGTTTTTTTTACTCTTAGTTGTGGTGGATAGTACTCCTGGGACTGGGAGTGTTTGTTTGTTTTTTTTTTTTGTGTGCTAGTATGAATTATCGTTTCGTAATTTCTTAGCCTGATTTGTGAGTATTATGATTTGGGTCAAGTTAAAATTTTTTTGGTTTAATAGTAATGGACTTAGATTTTGTTAAATTTGTTCTTTGTTTTATGTTTGGGGAAATGAGATTCAAAAATTAATCACCTTGTGAAATCCTTAATTAGTGCCTTGGATTTTGCATAAAATACAATTTAAATATATCAAAATTTTAAAGAGAGCGACGTTGCATCATCATCATCATCATCATCATCTTGGGTTGATCTTGTGGAGGCTCAAGACACTGGAGAAGGAAATTGAAGGAGCAGAAATACGAGAAGAGATGATAGCGGAGCAGATATACAGATTGAATTTTAATACTTTCTTCTTCTTCTTCTTCTTTTTCTTGAGACTTTTTAACAACCTAACAATCCAACAATAATATTTGACAAGGTGAAGTACAGAGACTTTGGGAGATGAGAGAGTGCAATGACAAAAACGAAAAAGAAAATAAACTCCCCC